GACTTCAGGAACAAGGCTGGACATGTCCAGTCTACACAGTACAGGAATAGCAGCTTCAGGGAAACATGTACAATTCACAACCTTGGAAAACTGGACTGAAACAGGGGTTACTGTAAATTCTCAAATAGGGGTTAGAGCCTTCAGATAGAACAGGTTGTTATATCTAATAATTATTGTTTCTAGTTATAAATATTATTTCTAATAATTCAGGGTAACGCCCACCTATGTCTAGACCAGTTACTGGGGTTGGCCCAGGGTTGGCACAGCATCGTGTACTGTTACTGATTCCTAAATCTAAGCACGTTTGTTCACCAACATCAGAGCTACCAGTCACAGCTCTGTGCCTCTTTAGATCAATCTTGTACCAAAGGTCAGAATTAATCTGCTGTTACTTTGTTGTTAGTAATGAACATCAGCTAGACCAGTTAAGCTTCTAGCAAGCATCAGCTAACAAGGCACAAATCCAAGATAAATTCAGTGGGATTAATCCACTGGCGCTCTGGTCCCAGTCTGAGTTTCTCATGTACTCTACATTCAAGTCACAGAGTCAGGTGTCCAGTGTGTTTGAATTGATCATCGGTTTATGATGACATTTAGCGGGTTCACCGTTTTCACCATTTTAGCTTAGCATGTTAGCATGCTAACATTTGATATGACTGATGTGGCACGGTGAAAGAACCCGGAAGTCTGCTGAACAACTCTCACCGATGTTCTGATCATTTACCCAGAGTCCTGAAAGACTCTTTAACATCTGGATGAAAAAACTATTCCAGTGGTGGCAAAATAAATACATTTTTAGCCCAATTTCTTATTTTGTTTCCAGAAATCTCAATTTTTATACAAAAAAGGGGTGTGATAAACATATTATTGGGTATAAAAATATAAAACTGAAGATATTAACATTAATATAAACCAATATTACTGATAAAACCTTTTCAATTTGAGACTCGACTGCTGGCTATTTGTTCTGCAGAAGTGATGTTTAGCGCTTTGACCTGGTTTGGTCCTCAGTATGATATATAACATGAGAGGCACAAACCAGGCCCTCGGTGATGCAACATTAGCTACCTGGACACAAAGCTAGCACGGCATTAGCAGGGCCTCGTTCCCAGTGACCCAGCACTGGTTACCATAGCAGTGAATGGATCATGTTTGACACGTTTCCAGAGCAGATACATTACGTCCTTCACCTTCAGTGGTTTGACGTTTTGGCTATACATTCACAATGTCCAAATAAACAACCAAATGCTATTTCTTACCACTGTTATTTTTTTATTTCTCTT